ATGCCGTTTAAATGCAGTTTAGTCTGTTTACTGCAGTGGCTGTGCACTGGAATCACCTGAGGAGTTTTAAAAATATTGATGCCGAGTTCTATCACCACATACTCTGGCGGTACTTAGTAGCCTGAGTGTGTTTGAGATTTTTTTTTTTTTTTGAAGCTCCTATAATTGATTCTGACGCTCAGCCCGAATGAAGATACTTGAAACAGTGAATATAGGGGACAAATATTGTCCTTTCTTTTGTAATAAAGTTTAAAATGCCAAAAGGAAATTAGACTGTGACAGATGTGTGACAGGAAAGGTGCTTTGGATTTGATAGTTGTTTCTCATTTTTTCACATTATAGTCCTTTATTCATCCTAAATTAGCCACCCCTTCATCTTGCACTAAGCCTTAGTTTCTACTCCACCTTCTGGTTGGGACATGCACAGAAAAAAGGATGAATGAGGAAGAGAAACATTTATTGAGGTTCAACCACGTCCGGTCCCTTGCTAGGCATATTATATCATTGGTGAGGTAGATTCGCTACTATCACTACTGCTGCAGAGATAAAAAAATAAAACTATGGATCTCTCTGTATATATGCCAAAGCTCTTGGAAAGTGATTTTTGAGTCTTCTGCATTATTGCTTCTTTCCATCAACACAGGAAATTTAGAGCTGATTGTGCTTGCAGTCATCAGCATTAGGACAGTAGGTTCAGAATACAAATAGCTCTTGGGAAGAAAATGCTTTCACCAAGAGCAGCTGAGAACATCCAACTATAGATTTCATAAATTGAATCAGAGATTTACAGAATGTTGGCACTAAAAGGGACTGGAGGGAGCAGTTCAACCTCCTCATCTTATAAATGGGAAAAAAATGAGGTTCAGTTATGAATAGAAGGTGACATTTGTCTCTTACAATGTAACAAGCTTCAAATAATCCCTGTTATGAATAGTTACTGCCGTTTACTAGAGAAGACGGACGGGTCAAAGCATGTGTTGAAAGATTACATATTCAGAAAGGAAAGCTGATACTTAGACAAAATTAGATGTTCATAAAGTGGATGCTGAAAAATAAAACCTTTAGAGTATCAGCAAGATTGAAAAATACTAATGATAATGTGGTCATTTAAACCTATCAATTTTATATTTAAAATCACCAACAATATAACAAGTCAAATTTCCACTGAAATGTTGCTTGTTAAGAAATTGCAATTGAGACTTCTCTTTCCTCTATATTTCTTCCTCATTTTATTTTTGTTGTCAGTATATCCTGCACTGGTTTAGAGAGGCTATGGTCCAGTGGTGAAGTCTCAGGAATGAGACTGCCTGAATCCTGGCATGAACACAGCAACTTGCTAGTTGGGTGATCTTAACTTCTCTGTACCTAAGTTTCCTCATCTATAAAATGGGGATAATAGAGTTACTTCTGTATCACTGTGGTAAGAAGCAATCGAGTTTATGTGTAAATAGTATCTAGCACAGAGTGCACACCATGTGAGTATTTGCAGCTATTATTATACTGTTGGTGCTTTTATAATCCAGGTAAATCATGAAAAATATTGATTTCTTGTCTTAATCTAAATTTATTCTTATCAAGTATAAAATGGAGAGTTTGTGACTGTGGCTCAGTGTAAAGCACTTGCCTAGCACATGTGAGGCACCACATAAATAATATACGGGTATTGTGTCCATCTCCAACTAAAAAAAAAATTAAGTATAAAATGGAAACTCTCTAAAAATTCATATTAATATATAAAGCTCAACCTCAACCAAGAAACACTTATTGGATACCTAGTATTTATAGATAATTTTTTTCTTCCTGGGCTCTGTGCTGTCATCAGTCATTTTCAAAATCCAAGACAAGCCCAGCAATGTCAGGTGCCTAGATTCCTAAGTACAGGTCAAGGCAGGAAAGCAACTTATTACTCATGCTTACGTTTTCCAAACACGGTTATAAAAATAAACACTGCCCATGCCTTGTTGTGTGTCTGTTTGAAATTATTAACAAAAAATGTTCAGTCATGAATAGACGATGCTTATGAATCAATTTATTTAAAAAATTAAGATTTACCAACAGATTTGGGGAAAAGTAATTGTATTGGAGTAATCCCCTTAATTTTTTTCTTTCTTTCTTCCTTAGGAAGAAGAGCGTATTCCTTTCACTGCCTGGGGAAAGTGTATAAGGGTAACCCTCTGTGCAAGTGCTGTCCTTTTCTGGGTAAGAATTTGTCTTTCACACACACAATTTTTTTTGAGTAATTTATTACATAACACTTTTCAGTGTCTAATATTAAATATCAAGGAAACTAAAGCCTAGAAACTATGTGGCCTCATGAGAGATACTTGTAGGGACAGCTTAGCTACCACCTGGAGTGACTCTGAAGTTTTCAGACTATCTTACCTGTTCTCACAGGTTCTTCTAGTTCCTCCTTCCTCATTTGTTTAAATCAGGCCAGTGGTTCAGTATTTTCCAGTTTCTAGTAAAGAGACCAAATGGGAGGCATTAAGAATTCTGACTTTCAATGTCAACAACTAAAATAAAATGTTGAGGGATATCCTTAGCAGAAAGAGAATAGGAACTTAAAAAAAAAAAACTACTGGAAGACATGAAAGAAGTCTTAAAAAATAATTTTAGATGAAAGGACAGTGTTTCTATAATGCCAGAACTTATTAAATTAGTTTTGGATTTATTATTCATAAAAACATACTAGTAATATAATTTAGTGAGAGTTTTCTTGGCTCAAGAAAAGCAGATTAGAGGATAGGACATGAAGCCCAAAAATAGGTTCTGGTATCAGTAATTTAATATATCAGAAGGGAGACATTATAAATCCATGGGATAAGAAAAGATTATGCAATAAATGGTAATAGAATACTTGTTAACTATTGGAGGAAGGCTAAAGCCATATTTTGAACCACACACTATAATAAGTTCCCAAAACACTTTTTAAAAATGTTTAACCATAGTTACAAATAAATACTTAAAATATAAAGAAGTTTTAGAGGAAAATATCTAAAGATTTTCATACAAATTTCAACAAAACACCAGAAGAAATATTTGTGAAGGGGGCACAGTGTTAATACCTTAATACACAGAATCCAGAGAACACACAAATCTAGTAGCAAAAGGGAGAACATTGACTATTTTTCTTTAGTAACTACATTATTAAAACCCAATAGTAATTAAATCGGTACACATTAAAATGAGATACAATATTTTGCCTCTCAAACAAGGCTAAGAGTCTGTAAGGATGATGTGCAGAATCACTCACTGTCATGTTGGGGTCCTGGGTTTTACATTGCTTCAGCCTTCCTAGTAAGCTGTGAGGCCTTCTGTATCAAGAGTCCCCAGAATATTCATACTTCAATTCACTAATTTAGGATTTTAGAAACTTGTAATCAACAAATACTTCAAAATGGCAAGTAAAGTAAGATGTCTTCGGACATCTATCAACATTTTATACACATATTCACACATGAATACATATCTCAACCAGGTATCCTACCTTCAAACCCACCATATAGAATATTGTACAGTCATGTAAAAGCACACTCATGGAAATATTTTATGATACATCATCAACCATAGGCATTTTTATAAGTTTGAACAAAGGATAAAATATGTAAAGTGGTTTGAATTATGCCCATATGTGAAGAATAGGTGAATTTTCCTATTTTTCTTTGTTTTTATATTATAGTTAAGTCTTTCAATTGTAGGTGACAAAATCAAATCTCCAACTGGTTTAAACAAAACAAAATGGGGGAAGGTGGGATTCATTGGTTCTCGAGCTGAAAATTCCAAGTTGGAAGTGTGGCTTTAGTCAGGGGAGCTACTTCTGCCCAAATAGCATCAGAATCTATGTTTTGTTCTGTCTCAGGTGACTTGCCAGTGTGCTGGGTCAAGGTACCGCCTTATGGTGGCAAAATGACTGCAGCATTTTAGATCCCACATTGTAGATGGCAGAACCATCCTATAGTCACTCCCTGTACTGTACCCTGCAGGTGAAAGCAGCCTCCCTCTGTTACCGACTACATTGTGACATGATTTACTTGGGCCTGCGGTTTCCATTCTCTGTCTTTTCTCTTTGGGAACATGCCTCATGAGCAGACATGATTCTGGAATCTATCCAATAAAACAGATGTGTGGAAAACAGTTTAAAGATACACAGTATTAGACATTGTTGGAAAGGTATCAAGTTAGGAGAAAATTCATGGGGCCTTTAATGTACATTATTCAGTGACCAGAGAAAATCAGCTTACTGAGAAAGCAAAATGCTTTTACGTACAAAGTATGCTTCAGATACCTGCATGGATGCTGGACTAAGTCAGAAATGCAGAGCAGCAGTGAAAAAAATCTGTGGCAATGCAGCCGTGAACAACTGCCAGTTCGAAAGCCAACTAGGGAAAGCCCAAGGAGCTTTTGTTGGCAGACACAGTTCATGCAGGGCACCTCTGGGCCAGCTTCATGGCCTGTCCAGAACCTCCCTTGATTCTATGTTTAAAACAGAAGATAGTACCGGCTTACCTTTGAGCTGGTGACAGGTTCTCTGTTGGAAGAAATCACATCTTCTTAATGGAGTATTACTAGCAAAACCCCACAAATTTCTAACTTAAGTCATTAATTATAGAAGATTTTTTTATATTTTTTAGTTGTAGTTGGATATAATACCTTTCATTTATTTTTGTGTGAGGATCAAACCCAGGGCCTCACATGTACTAGGTGAGCGCTCTACCGCCGAGTCACAACCCCAGCCCCAGAAGGGATGTTTTCACTGGTTCTATGATCACAGATACTTTTTCCTTCTACCTTAACATGCCACTAGTTATTCCAATTTTATGCTGTCTGATGAGAACACTCTTTTTAATAGACTTTTTTTTTCTAGAGCAATTTTTAGGTTTATAGAAAATTATGTAGAAAGTACAGCAAGTTCTCATATCCCCTTTCACTCCTGTGCACATTCCCCTGTTAACATATTTTTTTGGAGGGGTACCAGGGATTGAACTCAGGGGCACTCAACCATTGAGCCATATCCCCAGCCCTATTTTGTATTTAGAGACAGGGTCTCACTGAGTTGCATACACCTCACCGTTGCTGAGGCTGGCTTTGTACTTGCGATTCTCCTGTCCCAGCCTCCTTAGCCACTGGGATTATAGGGGCGCCCTATCGCGCCCAGCCCATGTTAACATCTTATATGTGGGTGTACTCACTTTCTATGTTCATCATTCTTTTCCCTTTCTCATGCCCTACTTTCTTCCGCTTGTGGCACTTGTGAGATTTATTTCACTTTACACAAGTACCTTGTAAATAATATGCCAGTTTTTAACAGTAAAAATTTGATCACTGGTGAGTCTCACGCTGCTGTTTTTTATGCTTTCAGATCCTGTTGATCATCGCTTCAGTTATTGGAATCATTGTCTATCGACTCTCAGTGTTTATTGTGTTTTCTGCAAAACTTCCTAGTACTGTCAATGGGACAGACCCAATCCAGAAGTACCTGACTCCACAGACAGCCACGTCCATCACTGCGTCCATCATCAGCTTTATCATCATCATGATTCTGAACACCATATATGAAAAAGTGGCCATCATGATTACTAATTTTGGTAAGGTCCTGACGTAGCTCAGGCAATTTTCGAGACATTTTTAAAACCTTGCTAAAAATAGAGACTAAGTCTCTTTTTCCATTTCAATTCTTGGAGGTTACAATTTTTAGAAAATTTCAAGCATAAACATTTTCTCTAGCCTGTATGGGAAAAGAATTATCAACGGCTTTGTATTAGTAAGAGGGACAAAGCAAAGACAGTATAATGATACTGTCCAAGCTCTGTGTAAACAGATCAGTGCTGAATAATATTTTCAATTACATTAGATCATGTACTCTATTGTTGAAAGTAAATAGTCTCTTTATTGCAAATAAGTGGAATAAGGTCATGGTCCCAGTGGCAAATACGCTCATTGTGGAGAGGACAAGCAATCGCACTGCTGCCGTCTTCTCCCGTGCTGTTCATATTAATATAATGCTTGGCATTTTGAAATAAGTGTTTCTTCCCCCTGGCTTGTATCCCAGGCAGCTGCTTAGTGGTCAGAGTTAAGTGCTTTCCACACCCTGCATACATCTGGGTCCTTCTCTGTTCTTAGATGACCACTTAGTCCATTCAATCAGACTGATGTAGATTCCAAACTAGAAGGATGACCCGTTTTGTGTTCCCCACATGCCCCTTGTTTTGTGGTTGTGTTCAGCAGACCTACCTTACAGCAATTCAGGAAGACAAAAGATTATTACTCAGCAGGCAATTAAAAAGTAATGTTCTATTAGTTTACAGCTGAGATAGTCCTCATCTGTTTGATAACATAGTACTTGTGAATTTTAAGAAATCATTGAAAAAGAAAAGCTGATGTGTACGTACACACACACATTTTGTCACGTGAGATATTGCATTCTGTGGTGAGAACTCTTATAACAATGTGTAAACTTGGAATTAACACGGTGGCTATATTAAGGAATTGAAAACAGCTTAAGTGAAAACAGTGTGAATTGCATTTTTTCCCCCAACATGTTAACTCATGTATGAGTGTTTTGGATTAGAGTTTCAAAGCTGTTCACAATTTTAAAATCTCTTTTCTGTTTTGTTTTAACGACAGAACTCCCAAGGACTCAGACTGATTATGAGAACAGCCTAACCATGAAGATGTTCTTATTCCAGTTTGTCAACTACTATTCTTCATGCTTCTACATAGCATTCTTTAAAGGGAAATTCGTAGGCTACCCAGGAGACCCAGTGTATTGGCTGGGAAAGTACAGAAATGAAGAGGTATGAAAATAGAATTGTATTCTTTTTACAGTTTAAGCTGCTTCATGTTTTGTTACCTAAAAACAGTTTCCTCATGGTTTTTATTATATATATTTTTTTTAGTTGCAGATGATCACAGTACCTTGATTTTATTTATCTTTATGTGGTACTGAGGATCAAACCCAGGGAGGGCCTACACATGTGCTAGGCAAGCGCTCTACCACTGAACTACAACCCAAGCTCTCCTCGTTGTTTCCTTTTTTTTTAAAGATGTTTTTAGCCTACACAGAATATCATAAAAATAAAATTACTGATTATAGATGGGTTTAACTGGGAACATAATCTAAATGAGATTTTCTTTTTAACATTCCAGTGTGACCCAGGTGGCTGTCTCCTTGAACTAACTACTCAACTGATAATAATCATGGGTGGAAAAGCAATCTGGAATAACATACAAGAAGTCTTGCTTCCGTGAGTATTAGATAGTGTCGCTTCTTGGGTAACAGGCAGAAGGTCTGTCAGCCCACCTGATGAAATAATTTACCTACACAGTCACATAGCTGTATGTCCACCTCTAAAATGGATTAGAATCTATTATTAAAGGTCTTTGGGCAGGATAGTCCAACAGTTTATATGTATCAAGTGTTTGATAAGTATGTAAAACTTTCTTCCTTAAGAAAAGCCCACCTGCTACAGTTTAAACTGACAGAGAGGCTGTGATTAGTTAGCCACAGAGCAAAGCCCTTCCTTAGAATGTGAACTACGCATTATCCCACCTTTTCACAGCAACCTCCTCCCTTCCCTTTATGTATGTTTTAAGGTCATTAAATAGTGATTTGTTGAATTATTAGTGCCAGTAGAATGCTTTATATTTTTCTCACTTAATTTTTAAACTATTCTCATTTTATCTTCCTTTTGCAGTGAAAATGTATAGCTTAAAGAGATTCAATATTTTACCCAAGTTCACAGGGGCAATAAGAAGTTACTATAGGATTCCATACCAGGACACTATGTCTGCAAATTCTTGTGCTTTCAAGGAGAGGAGTTCAGGGCTGGGGTGTAGCTCTGTGGTTGAGGGCCTGCCTTGCTATACCTGAAGCTCTGGGTTCAACCCCCAGGACATCAAAAAATAAACAAGTTCTCTTTGTCTTCCTAAAGCACAGGGATACACCTATAATGCTTTAAGAGATAATTGTTCAAAATAATAACCACAAAGGTTTTGACTTAACTGGTTGTTTTTTTCCCCCTCAAGAAAATGAGAACAAGCTATAGCTACACTGAAGACCTTAGCACAAATCGTACTGTCCTAAATTTTCACTGAAGTGCCATCCACATCAAATGGCAAAGTTCAGCACCATCTGCATTCTCTGAGAATTTCAGGGAGCCTATTCTATTCATTTCCTTTTGCTGCTGCAATGGATTGCCACAAAATTGATTAAAATGACAAAGTTATTATAGTCTGGGAAGTCGACCGTTTAAGCTAAAATCAAGGTGTTGGCAGGGATGTTTCTTACCAAAGTCTCAGGTGAATCTCTTTCTCTGCCTTTTCTAGATTCCAGAGGCTACCCATATCTCTTGGCTTGTGACCTTTTCTCCATCCACAAAGCCAGCAGTGTTTCCAGCAGGAATAGGAAACACTATCCTATTCCCCTTTCTCTTCCTCTTTTAATGACCCTTGTGATTATATTGGATCCCCAGGATCATCTAGGATGATCTCCCTGTGTCAAAGTCAGCTAATTACCTTAACCAGGGAACTTAACACATACATATGTTCTGTGGAATAGGAGGGTAACATCTTTGGAAGGACCATTATTCTTCCTGACACACTTATTTTTCCAGGATAATTTCTGCTCTTCTAAAACTTTAGATCTGTCTTCCCTCCTATGTATTGTACCTTTCTCTATTCCATGTCAACCCAAATGGAGAGTATGCACAGCCCTCTCCCTAGTATCTCCCAAAATCACTTCCAACAAGCATGCTTTACTGATGTTTGGAGAATGAAGGCAGAAACTCATACAACTTACATTTTGAAGTTTAATAAACCTCCCCCTTTTTTATTTTT